CCGCGCGTCGCCCGGACAGAGGAGCAGCAGCCGGGCGGGACAGGAGATCACTTTATTGAACCCAAAGGTGTGGGACAGACGACCGAGAAGAGACATGGTGGGTGGTGCGGGCAGCGTGGGCAGCAGGAGCTGACTTGGTGCAGGGCTGGATTTGTTTCTGTCTTTCGGAATATCCTCAAGCCTTTTCCTGGCTTCCTTTGACGCTTCTTTTAAAATTTCTTTGAAGTAAAAACCACCGATCACGGAAAGAGTCCAGATGGTGTCGTTGCCTCTGATTGTTCCCGCAGCTATGTACAACGTGGGCTTGGGTCTCAACAGCAGGTATAAAACGGAGCGAGTTTACAAACTTGGAGGAGGCAAGGAAAAAGCAAAGACAGACAGGCGAGAGCAGTAGAAATCTGGACCAAAATCTTCAAGAGAAATTTAAAAAGTGCTATAAAACCCCTCGGCAGGAATACCATGCAGTTAAGAAACACAAAACCCAGTCAATTACACAGATCATCTAAAAGAGGAATTTGTCCAGTTCGTCTTTTATTTAATTAAAAAAACGTTGTTTGTTTTTAATAGAAAAAAGCTAAAATTGTAAGGTTCAGGCCACCGGGCAGCAGCAGCTCGAGGGGACGGCGCTGGCGTCCCCCAGCTCCAGCCCCCAGGAGGGCTCCTGGCGCTCCCCAGGGCCACGGGCACCTTCGGGGGCAACCGGCACCTCTGGAGGGGGCAGGCACCCTTGGGGGTGACGGGCTCCTCGGGGGGTCACAGACATCCTTGGGGGGCAACAGGAACCCCTGGAGGGGTGACAGGCTCCTCTGGGGGCAACAGCAGGCACCCCTGGGGTGATGGACACCCTCGGGGCAGCAGGCACCTCCAGAGGTGACGGGCACCCTTGGGAGGTGACGGGCTCCTGTGGGGGTCGCAGACATCCTCGGGGGTCAACAGGCACCCTTGGGGGGCAACAGGCACCCTTGGGGTGATGGACACCTTCAGGGCAGCAGGCACCTTCAGGGGTGACGGGCTCCTGTGGGGGTCAGAGACACCCTTTGGGGCGGTGGGCACCCTCGGGGGTGGCAGGCACCATCAGGGATGATGGGCACCCTTGGGGGTGACAGGTTCCTTTGGGGGTTGCAGGGACCCGCGGGATTCTTGGGTACCTTGGGGAGGTGACGGGCTCCTGTGGGGTGACAGGCACCCCGGGGCGGGGGTGGATGAGTCACTGCCATCCTCGGCTCAGCTCCCCTGGGGATGGAGGGGCTCAGCCCAGACGCCGGCAGCCCGGGGGGACGCTCGGGCCCTGGGCCCCCCAGGAAGCCACCATGCTTGGGGCCACCACACTTGGGGTGCTCGGTGTAAGCCAGGAGGAACCCATCAGGGAAAGCCCCCCGATCCCAGCCATCGCCAGTCCCCCCCTGGGATTCCTCCTGCCCCACACCTCGGCGTGCCGCTCGCC